GCGTAGCTTTCGACTAGATATAAGGAAGAGGCTCTTTACCCCGCGGGTGGTGAGGCACTGGCACAGGTTGCCCGGGGAGGCTGTGGAAGCTCCATCCCTGGAAGTGTTCAAGGCCGGGCTGGATGGGGCATTGAGCAACCTGATGTAGTGGGAGACATCCCTGCCATGGCAGGGGGTTGGAATGAGATGATCTTTGAGGTCTGTTCCAACCCAAATCATTCTACGATTCCATGACAGCCGGCACAGCCCTGCCTGTGGGTTTATCAGTTTCTAACAGCTACTTCTATCAACCCACATTAAGGCAAGGTCCCGCTCACGCCACTGTGGATATTTGAGGGTAAGGGTGTGAGGATTCAAGACTTCGGTCAACTTACATGTGTGGCTAAAGGCAAACCAACACACATACGCATATAAAAGATTGCATTACCCAAGAAATTATTTTTTTACTCCAAAGATGAGCATGAATTTATTGCTTGGGTGTCTCATTTCTCCCTTATCTAGCACAGAGAATGTTTTTGCAGACAAAATTACGAAATACTGAACTTGTAGCCAAAGTCCGTGTTATTTATCATTTGATAAAGATGTCAGGCATTTCTAACAAAGATGAAATTTCATGCTAACTCTATTACTCCATGCAAAAAAAAACTAATAAAGGCCAAAAAAAATAATCAAACCCACACATTAGTGTCAGGCAATGAAATAAAAATAATTTTCTGACACTTAATTTGCTTTAATCAATTATTTTTTCCCATACGAATTTAGTAATGCTGAAATATCTCAGATGGCCACACGCCTGGAGATACACAACTTTTTTATTGTTCACAAAATAAGTGGTGTCAGCACAAGTTCCCTGGCTTTCTGTGCTTGGAAATCATTTGTTCCTAATGTTTATGTAGCCCTTAAGTAACAACATTAATTTAGATTTGAGGACTGCAGCAGCGTTTGTGTCTCCAGCTCATCCTGGTTCCTCCCTCTGGGGTCAAAAAAAAATTAGTCAAAAAAAATAATATTAAAAAAAAATCATATAGGGCATCTAGAGGTCTGCATTTTTCACTTCAATAAACATTTGTACACACGGCTTAAAAGGCCCAGACACTCTGTTTCTGCACACAAATTCCCAAGCATGCTTTGGGTTCTCACTTAGAAAAAGGAGGTTTCATCAACCATGATTTTTAGTCTGAAGTCTCCTCATCAGTGCAACTTACCTTGGTTACTTATGCTGCTGTAAATATACTTTTCTCTTGTTTTACAGCATTTTCATCTTGTTTTTGCAAGTGCAATGAATTTGTAATACTCTGAAAACAGGTCAGTGGTAGATCAGAAACTCTTAATCCCTGGATAAAGATTATTTTAAGATCACTCTATACCAGCAGTATGTTATCAGGGCTTTTGTTTGTTGTTTTTAATAATTGCACCAACATGCACAAATTATCCTGTCGGGAGGGTCAAAGGTGAGAAGAATAATTCATAACATGTAATAATTCCAGAGGTTAAAGCCTCATTGCTGTGCCTGAGATCCTGTCTACGGCCACCTGCTGCCCAC